GTACACTTTTAGTCAAACCTAAAATATAGGTAAATGACATTTAATCATCAGACATTGATATGCAAATGATCACTCCTAACATCAGGCATACTTTCATCTTTGCAATAGGTTAAGCAAAGTCTGTCATTGGTATTGCCAAAAGATTGACAGCTGACATGTCACTAAGTGCATATAGAGTTCATTGTGGGAAAGAGACTTACCTTCACCTACCTGGATCTGAGTTCTTTCCCCAAGGTTTTCATTATCTTAATATAACCAAACAATGCTATTGGAACTACTCTACTTCAAACCATCAGCACATTTTTGAATTAATGAAAAATCTCTGAATTAATCTTCCTGTATCTATCATTGTCCCCTCAATCTTATCTCTATCAAAAGGCTACAACTTTTAAAGCATATATTTTAAAGACATAGATCAATGCTTCCTTAATTTTCCAATAAAATCCTAAGAAAATAGGGAGGAAAAAAATCCCAACTTTTACCCCTATGTGAAGGGCCTTCAGGTTTGACTTCATCTCAGATCCCTCCCCTTCACTCACTATGTCCCAGCCACACTTGCTATGTTTCTGTCCCATGTGCTCACCAAGCTGACTCTCTCTTTAGGACTTTTGCAGTTGTTGATTTTTCTAGCCAAAGGCTCTTTCCTCAAACATTCAGATCAGTGGCTCTTTCCTGTCATTCATTTTCCAACTGAAATATCAGTCTTCATTTCAGAGAAGCTCTTCCAGATATGATGATCTAATATTGCTCTATGCACTCCCAGTTCAGTTCATCCTCTATCATCTCACACTTTTTATTCCTCCCTAGTCCTTAATTGCTATCTTCAATTACACTATCAATTTGTTCCTTTTCTGTTTATTGTCTAACTCAAGGCGAACACAAGCTCCATGAGAGCAAGGCCCTTAACTGCCTTCCTCTTCCCCCAGTAACAAATAATCATTTGTTCAATGAATGGAAATATAAAACGAAACAAAACATGACAGTGAATAGAAGCAGTGTGGACATCAGCTGGAGAAAATGGCTGAATTATAAGCCAAGTAGAGTTATAGTGATGACACTGATAAAGCAAGAGAATATTTTCTTCCAATACTAAGAACTAAACTTCATTGGATATCAGCCTAAAATAGTCAGAACATTTAGACTATCGTTTGTAAATCCAAGATTGTTATAATATTTTGCAACAAGAGAATATTAAAGAAAAAGTAATTGAAATTACCTATATATGTACATTAAGTGTTGTGGGTTGAATTATGGTCCTCAAAAAAGATATAGTCAAGTCACATCATTAAGTACGTGTGAACACAACTTTATTTGTTTTGACAATTAATTTTTTGGGTCAGCTTGGATAGATCACATGTGTAGATATGTGGTCAAACATTATTCTGGATGTTTCTGAGAGAGTGGTTTTATATGAGAGTATCATTTAAATTGGTGGACTTTGAGTAAAGTAGATTACCCTTCATATTTAGGTGGGCCCCATCCAATCAGTTGAAGGTTTGAATTAAAAAAACAAAAGACTGAACTCTCCCCAAACAAGAGAGAATTCTGCCAACAAACAACACCCTAACCCCAACTGCAGCATCAGCTCCTCCCTGGGTCTCCAGTCTGCTGTCCCACCCTGTAGCTTTCAGACTTGCCAGCCATAATCACATGAGCCAATTCTTTAAAATAAGTTATTTTCTATATACATACATTCTATTGGTTCTGTTTCTCTGGAGAACCCTGACCAATATATTGGTAAACAGAATCTTTACAGATGTGATCAAGTTAAGACGCAGTCAAACTGGATTAGGGTAAAACCTAATCTAATGACTGATGCCTTGATAAAAAGAAGAAAAGTTGAACATCGAGACAATAGAGAGAACGTCCTGTGACAATGGAGGCAGAGATCGCAGTGATGAGTCTACAAGCCAGGAACCACAAAGGATTGCTGGCAACCACCAGAACTAGGAGAGAGACCTGGGGCAATGCCTCCAACAAAACTTCCAGGAAAAACAATCCTGCCCACACCGTGATTTCAGGCTTGTAGCTCCCAGACTGTGAAAGAACACATTTCTGTTGTTTTAAGCCATGCAGTTTGGGGTAATTTGTTACAGCAGCCCTAGGAAATTCATACAGTAAGTTTAAAAAAAAGCATCTCAAAAGAAACTATTATGATATACTCTCTGAACAGCATCCAAAAAATAAACGAGTAGAACTGAATCTGGAACTGAAAAGATCAGGTCCAATGGCAACATTTATAAGTAATTAGACTCTATTCTCTATGTGACTGTTTTGGCAAAGGTGATTTCAGAAAAGTGAAACCACATGTAAAATGCATTTTTATTTGCTTTGAACGTTAGACCTGTTTTTATAATCTGATTGTTCGTGTGCTTTTTCATGCCAACCTTTCATAAATATTTCAGCACAATCTATTGTTTGTTTTCAGAGAACTCCTCTTCCTGAAAATCCCTTACCACCCCACAACCTCACCCCTCAGCATTACAGAACCACATTGTTAGGACATAGAAGGAAAACCCTCAGTAACAGAAGTTGTCCTTCACTCAAAGCCAGCTTAAATAAGTGAGCTCATTAGACAGCTACACATTTGTCACAGAAATTCTTTAGAAAACACGTAAAGTCATTTGTTCAAGTAACTCTAGTTTTTCTACTGCTCACTGGAGAATTATTCAACTGTTATCCTGGCCACAGATATTCAGACCTTTACCCAAAAAGCTTAGTATATTAGTTTTCTATGACTGCTGTAACAAACTACTACAAACTTGGTCACTTAAAAAAACATAATTTTATTCTCCCACAGTTGTGAAGGCCGAAAGTCTGAGATGAAGGTGTTGGCAGGGCTGCACTCCCTCAGCAGGACACGGGGAGATCCTTTCCTTGCTTCCTGCAGGTTCCAGTGGCCATTTGGACTTGACTTGTGCTCAAGTCACTTCAGTTTTTGCCTCTGTGACCACAGGGCCTCCTCCTCCTCCAAGTGATCTCTTATAAAGACCCTTGTTGTTTGGTTTACGGCTCATCTGAATAACACAGGACCTCTTTACATTCTCATCTCAAAATCCTTAATTACAAAGACCTCTTTTCTAGTCAGATTCCAGGGATTGACATGGATATATTTTGGGGAGGGGCACCGCGCGGCCCACTACACTTAGATAAAGTTTTACTCTTGAATTTCTCTTTCATCTGCTGGTCAGACCTGGTAACACTTCATTCATCTTACAAATAAGTTACCTCTTGAATAAAAATAATTTGCACCTGTGTCATTTGAAGCATACTCAATTAGCAACAAATGTTTTATTTTTCAATCCTAATTGGGAAAGGGTCAAAAACAGATATTATCAGTCAAATAAATGGTTGAGACCACACCTAAAATTAAATAAATTTAGCTCAGCATAGCAGTTACAATCGTAATTTCTTTTTAATATAGAGAGTCTATGAGCAACTGAAATTAAAGCAAATTCTCAAACTATAAAAAAAATCTACATAGGAACAGATATCTCCATTACAGTTGACCATTGAGCTCAGGGGTTAGGGGTGCCCACCCTCTGCACAGTCAAAAGTTCACATATAACTTATACTCGGCACTTCATATCCACAGTTTCACATCCACAGACTCAACCAACCCCAAATCGTGTAGCACTATAGTGCTTACTATTGAAAAAAATCTGCATATACATGAACCTTTGCATTTCAAACCTATGTTGTTCAAGGGTCAACTGTCTACTAACAATGATTTTTCCTATTTTTATTTACATTATGTCCCTTTATAGTTAGGTCATATCAATTTTTCCCTTCCTTCTTCAAAGAGACTCAATGCTACTGGGTTCAGATCTGCTCCTCTCCTATATCTTATCTCTGTTAATGACATCGTTATCTATTAAAAACTGGAAATCTGCCATTTCTTTCTCCTCATCCTTACACCTACCTGCTCCACATCCATTTATTCATAGAATCTTGTGGATTTTATCTTCTAAATATCTCTGGAATCCATTCCATTCTCTCCACCTAGCTCCCTTCTTTTCGTCATTGCCTTGATTAATATACCCATCATGACTTGTTTGATCAAGTGCGAAAAATAACCAAAGATTCGTATCTCTCGTAAGAGCCCATGACTTCCTGCACACAGCCATTACTGACACCTTTTCAAAACACAAACCCACTTACTTCATTCTCTGACTTAGAAAACTCCTAGAGTCCCATATTCATAGGCTTAAGTCTAAATTACTACTTAAGGCATACAAATCCATCTATAATTTCTTCCGATAACTTCCAACTCTCCCTGCCGTCCACTGCCTCCAGCTAAACAGAAGTTTACACTATTTCTCAAGAATTCCAGACTAGTTCACTCATTAGTTTTCAACTTGGAATAATACACAGCACTATCCTGCTATTTTTTGTCTTTTTGTTTAATGGTAAATCCCTATTCATCTTTCAATAAATAATTCAGATATCTCTTACTCCATCAGTTCTTGTTGATAATGGTGTTTTTACATAACAAAAATAGGGCCGACGACAACTTGAAATTGTGACAGAGTAATCACAGCTCAGGCATACAAAAATGGAGCCAGACAGCCATGAGGATCTGGTCTCAGATATGTCCCGGACCACTGAGAACCTGAACTTTCTTGGAACTGTACCAGACCCAAGCATACAACCAGTCCTATTCAGGACACCTGCCAGCTGCAACCTTTGGTCTCCAGGTCTCCTCTTGTGTGCAACCATTTTTGACCCCAACCAATCCTTGCTTCACAAGAACCCTCACTTCTTGCCAGCTCCAATTATAATTCTTAATAAACAACTCATATAACTAACTGCAGTCTCTCCACTTTTTGCCTTTATAAGCCCCTTCATTTTGTAGTCTGGCAGAACACAATTCAAGTGTTTCTTGAATCTGTCTCCCAGGCTGCAGCCCTGACAGACTTCAAGTAAATGTCTCTCTATTTCAGGCAGGTCTCCGTTTCTGAAATTTTGGTTAACAGGAAGAATATTTATACATGACTCACCTGTGGTTGGTTCGAAACCTCGAGAGTTCTGGGGGTGAAATCCGAAACTGGCTCCCTGTCACCAAGGACCCAAGATAGAGGCCATCAGTCCAAATTAGTAGGTGGCAGTTTTTATAATCCAGGGAATTCACACAGGAGGCTTTTCTCAGGCACTGCAAGACCAGTAACTCTCCATACCTGCCGGCCAGAATCTTAGGACTTTATGTAGACGCCTTACTGGGGCTCACATCTAGTGTGGTGTAGACAGTCTCAGTAACACGGAACCCTCTCAAGGCTGTGCTCTCCAAGTGGCTCCTGCAGTGGAAACAGTGGGCAGAAAGCGTGTTCTGAGGACAGGGGAGCAGCAGGAACCTCTGATTACGCGGTTCCAGCTCAAGGGTTGACCTGCAGTCAAATCCTCTGGATGACCTCCTCCATGGCCAGTATGTCATAATCATAATCAGTGTCCTAAGTCTTCAAGTAACTTCCCAATGACTACAACTGCCAAGGCTCTTCATGGGAACAGCTGGTCTTCCGATAATCAGGCAACTAAAAAAGAAATACCTGATACTTTAGGAGAGCTGCAGGCATTTTCCTCAGCACTGTAGTCAAACTCGATTCTGATTTGTTGACACCTGTGTGTTGTTTCACTTTTTAAGAATTTTCATATTGCTTCTGACTAAGAAAGAAACCTAGGAACTCTCACGTTTTTAAAGTTTGCAGTGTCTGTCCTGAGTAGGAAACTGTGCAGTTATGCTAGAAACTCAAGGGATAATCAGATGTCTTTAAAAGGGTCTAGATTCAGCAGGAAAAATAATACATTTACACATGTAAACTAATACAAGATAACTCACATGACTGAGCAATGCATGGTAACTATGTGTTACAGAAGAGGAAGCAGTCACTGCTGACCAAGATAAATAGAGACAGAACCTGACAAATGCACGAGATTTAGCAAATGTAGAGAGGGATTTAGGAGGCAACTTCAGAACAATCAAATGTTTGCTGCAAGCAATGAGCTCAGATAGGAGAACGTGCATAATAATGGTGATTAAACCAGTTTAACTGGAACATTTGGTGTGTATAAATGAATAGGGAAAATTAAGCCAGTAAAGGTATGGCAGCAAGCATAAAAAATTTGATTGGAATACCAACAAATGTGCATTTATTCAAAAGGACAGTATTTATTACAGTATTATTTTAAATTGTGGGGAAAAACAGGAGTAGTTCTGTCCATTCACAGATAAATGGTTAAAACATTTATCTATTAATACATTCATGTTATGGAATTTTGAGGCATCTAGGGGTGGATCCACATGTATCCACAAGACAAAATTCACTGGGACATATTAAGTGATAAAAGCAAGTCGTAGTCTCAGCACTCTACCTCTCCTTTTTTCTTTTTCTCTATTTCTCTCTCTGGCTCTCTGGCTCTTTCTCCTTCTCTTTTTACCACAGAAGTAACCATAACATATTTGAAAAATTTTGAACACTAACAAAAAGAAAATTATACCCACTATATAATAGGATTTTATAAATGTTACATTTCATAAGACTGAAAAAGAAAGATTAAAATAGGTTTCATTCTTCACCCCCCAAAGAACATTTATAATAACAACAACAACAACAACAACAAAAGACATTGAAGGTAGTTACCCATAAAAATCGGACAAAGGGACCTGCTTTTTCTACAAAGAAATTTTTTTTTAATCCCTAAGACATTGAAGAGGTTTCAAGATTTGAGAAGGGTTTATTTTTTATTACTATTAGTATTGTATTAGAATATATTAATTTTTATTTTGTTAGAAAACAAGAAAGTTTGAATTTTCCCCACTAATACTGGTCTTAGAGGAGAGAAACTAAATTTGTAATTGTAAAAGTACATTTCCTGATTACTCAAAAATGATGTAGTGATTTCTCTTAAACTTTTCTAGAAACACAAAAATTACTTGCTTCTATAATCACTTGCTTCATGGAGGAAGAGCTCTTCAAAACCAGAATATAAAGGGTGTGTTAAATAAACTCCAGTTCTTAAATAAGGCATCTCTGCAAGAAATAATTGAAAATAAAAACATTCTTCTGTGGAATTTACACCATGAATTGGACTATTTCTTCAATGTATACCTATGGGCCCCATTTAAAAGAATATATGATGTCATAATAAAAGATTTGAGGGAGAGTTTAAAGGCTGAAAAAAGAAATATTGAACTACGTTTCCTCTCCACCCCCACCAAGAATACTTATGGAACCAAAAAAGAGCTACCTTTTGCTGTCAAGATCTACACTTCAGAATTACTTGGTGCATTTTATTGTTTTATTCAAGACTATTTTCAATATAAATGTTCTTTTTTTCCCCCTTTCCTCAAAGCCCTTGTCAACTTGCTGCTACCTGTTAAAGACAAATGCAAACAACTGCTGAGTTATAACTAGTAGTCTGCAGACCTTGAGAGTACTTCAAAAGCATATCAAGTACGCTGAAAATATTCTTTATGAATATATTTCATTTTTCAACTTTGAGTTTAAACAAGAAACCAGAGGAACCAAAATTTGGTAAGATCTTAGAAAAGTTGAAATTTAATATCTTATCATTTAAAAGAAATAAAGCCAGTTCTTTTTTCTTATGTGATTATGTAAGAAATAATAAAATTAGAATAACGAGAAAGATACATTCATATATTCTAAAACCAGCAGGTTTTTATGTTTAATGTTATGATCGAATTTTCTCTGTATAATTTTGCGTAAACTCAAAAGAATAATTAACACTTGATACATTTAAAAATGAAAGAAAAACTTGCCTTTGGGTTAAAAGTAAAGGTATGTGTTGTGTATCTAATTATATTTACATGTACATTTTTATGAAGTATATTTATATACATACATTTGCTGAGATTTAAAAACTAAGGTTGGTTATATAAGCTAAAATGTTCTAAAGAGACCAAATTTCTGAATTTAGATTATAAAATTATTCCCACAGCAATCTACAGTGCAAACTCTTAACACTTACAAATCATGCAACTCCTTGCAGTGGGTGGTAATTAAGTGGCATATATAAAAGAACAAAATATCAATTCCTTTTATATGATACCAAATTGTTACTGACCATCCCAAGTCAGTCCCCAGCAAGGGACCTTCTGCCTGGCGTTGCTCGGGCCAGTAGGACGAGATCGAGATCCAGTTTGCCTCCGAAGCAAAGAAAGCTTTGTTCTTTGATCAGAGAATGGAGAGACCGTGCTGTTACTCTGGAGCACACGCTCTTCCCGCTTTTCCCAGCGGGCTGTGGGCGAGGCTGCTTTATAGGGATCGCCTCAGCGAGGAGGGGGAGGGGGCGGAGTTCTCATAAACAGCGGCGCGGCTGCGCTGCTCACGCCCCAGAGCGGGCACAGCGTCTCCGCGCACAGCCCGCCACCGCCATCTTGAGCCGCCCCGTGGTGCTCTGCGCCTCGGCATCCAGACCGCAAGCTGAGGTGTCCTTTCACGTGAAGAACTCTGGTCTGAAGGGCCTTCCTTCAGAGGAAGTCCTCTGCCGGCCGAGCCCTATGAGCACGTGAAACTAGATGAAGCGCTGACGAAAAGGAAAAGATTAGACTTTGTTTTATTACCCAGATTCCATTTTTATTTCCTGGGACTTGCCAACGAGCTTTCCCAGGCACGAAATGGTACAGTATTTACCAGATGTAAAGTCCTCTGCCTCAAAACCATTTTGAAATAAAGAGGTAAGCAACATTTTTCAGAAGTTTAGTTCAATTTGGTTTGCTCCTTTTTAAAGAAAATAATAATTGTATACTAATATTGGAAATTAGTAAATACTAGGCAGTATGCATACAAATTAAGAGGCATTTACGTCTGTTGGTATTCATGGAACAAGTGATGGGATGGCAGTAAATGGGCAGTGCTGAACTGATTATAAAAGAAGCACCACAGCGAAGAGCTATTTAAGACATAAGTTGAGAAAGGAAATCAGAAAAAAACAAAAATGGACTTGAAGTTCATGGAATTTTCCAAGCTTTTCTATTCAGAGAAACACTGTTTTGAATATTCTTTTATTCAAGTTGCTGTATGAATATACATACATAGATTTGTAGCTTATTTGGGCTTTCATAACTGATATAAATACATATATTCATCTACACATATAATCAGGAAATAGTTTTAAGGTGCAATTTTCTTATTTCATGAAGAGTTTCATATATTAAGCACAAAACAACAGAGAAAAGTTATGTTTCACTTTGCTTTACTTTTTATTTTTACTCTGAAAGAAAGTATTTAAAATGAGAAGTAACTAAGATATGTTTTTCTAGAATAGAGAAACTCTACCTCCAGAATTCAGGGGAAAAAATCTGGCTGAATAGTACATTTGGGCTCTCTCAAGGGCCACTGAAACTTTGCTCTGATTATTATTCACAGTTCTTAGATTGCAGAGAAAATCAAGATAGCAGAGGAAAACTTTGCAGTTCAGTACTCAGAACTGAGTTGCTTTGTCATCAGAATAAAATGTAATATACTGAAAGCCTGACATGTGAACAATAAAAATGCCCACTCCTAGGTGAGGTTTACCCTTCTGAGTTGAACTGGCAGTAGCACAAAGCAGATAAAAATGCCCTATTTTTCTGGGTAGGGTTTCAGTCTAAGTAACAGCAACTTTTACCCTCTGTACCCTAGAGCTTAAGAAATACAAGCCTACCTTAGAGATATTGTGGGTTCAGTTCCAGACCACAATAAAGTGAATATTGCAATAAAGCAAGTCACACAGTATTTTATTTCCCACGCATAGAAAAGTTACATTTACACTGTACTGTTGTTTATTAAGTGGGCAATTGCATTATGCCTAAAAGATGTATATGCCTTAATTAAAAAATGCTTTATTGCTGAAGAATGCTAACAACCATACGAGCCTTCAGCACGTGTTAGTAGTAATATCAAAGATCCGTGATCACAGATCACCATAACAGATGTGATAAGAATGAAAACCTCTTAACTGTTGTGAGAATTATCAAAATGTGGTACAGAGATATGAAGTGAGCAAAGGCTGTTGAAGAAATGTCCTTGTTGGACTTGCTCAACACAGGGTTGCCAGAAACCTTCAATTAGTAAAAAACGCAGTTACCTGTGAAGCACAGTGAAGTGAAGCACAGTCAAACAAGGTATGCTTGTATATGAATTTGTAACTCACAAGGATATGTGTTATCTCATTTCTCAGAACCTCACAAAGTATGCAAAGGAGAATTTACATTCCCCTATATAATTTATTTTTTTATTTTTTTAACATTTTTTATTGATTTATAATCATTTTACAATGTTGTGTCAAATTCCAGTGTTCAGCACAATTTTTCAGTCATTCATGGGCATATACACACTCATTGTCACAATTTTTTCTCTGTGAGTTATCATAACATTTTGTGTATATTTCCCTGTGCTGTACAGTGTAATCTTATTTATCTATTCTACAATTTTAAAATCCCAGTCTATCCCTTCC